GACCTTGGTTTAAATCCCCACCCCCATTAGTGCTCAGGAAATATAGCTGGGAGTGAGTGGGGCAGGGCTGGTGTTAGGAGGACAGATTTCTCAGCACCTGAAACCGTGAAACCGGTTAGGAGGCTGAGCAGGTGGGACTTGGGCAAGACCTGACGAGGAAGGACCTGAAACAGGACAGGGAAGCAAGTGACAGGGCGAGGCTGGCAGACTGGGCTGGGTCGTGAGGGGATGGCATCCAAAGCATCCTGCCCGACTGCATAGATGCCACAGGCCATAGGTGGGGGCCCTGAGGACAGCGGGCTCCCTGTCCCCTCCCGGCTGCTCCCCACTGCCCCCAGGCCCTGGCTCTGCTCATCAGAGGTGGACAAGCAGAGGGAGGGTGGCCCTACTGGCTGTCTGATTTCTCCTGCTCTCAGGGCTCCGCAGTGCCTCTGGGTGGGCAGAGCCCCCCATCCTGAACTTCCTGTCTCTCTCCTCTCTCCTCTCCTCTCCTCTTCCTCTTCCTCTTCCTCTTCCTCTTCCTCTTCCTCTTCCTCTCCCTCTCCCTCTCCCTCTCCCTCTTTCTCTCTCTCGGGCTGCCTTGGAACCATCTTTTCTGTTACAGAATGACGAGGTTGATTAAAACAAATGTATTTGCACAAGAGTTTGGAAGTACTTTGTTCTGGATTACACCATCATGTTCCTCGAAGTGTGTGATGCATCTTTGGCACTCACTGTTGAATAATCAGTGTTGTCAAGGGGAGGCCAGGGACTTGAGGACAGTGGGGCTCTAGGCTCCCACTTGACAGGCGGGCTGAGTGGTTGGCCGAGTCCCAGCAGGAAGTTTGGCTCCCACAGCCCCTCCTTGGGCCAGGCTGGTTTCCCCTCTGCCTGAGTTCAAGGCCACCCTGTTGGGTGGAGAAGGGTAAACAGTGTGTGATTAATGTGGCTGTTGACACAGCAGGTAGGTTCAGGTTCATTTACTTCCTCGAGTCTAGAAGCACCATCGTATTTTGCATGAGCTCCTAACAAAATCCAGTCAGGTGGGAATGTGCCGCCGTGCCCCTTAGGTCAAGGCCCACGGGTCAGCTGGTCAGACCGAGAAGCTGGGAGCTGCCCTCCAGTTCCGCTGGTGTCAGATGCTGGGGTGGGGTTGAGCCCAGACGAGAGGGACCACCGGAGCCTGGAGTCACTGCTGAGGCTGCAGGAGGAACGCACACAGCTTACTGGTTTGGGCCTCAGAATGGTGCGCAGCTGGGATTTTAGGACGGCCCACGTAACCCTAGTCCGCTGAGTATAAGGAACCAGCATCGCAGAGGTCCCTCTCGACTCCTTCCTGTGTCGCCAAGACGCGAGCATGTGAAACGGTGGCCCAGAGACAGCACACAGCAGCCCCTCAAACAGGTGGTGTTGTGACTAGAGTGCAGATTGTTTACTGGATTCTACTGCTAAGCTTGACAGCCGGCAATACTAAGGCTTGATCGCGCCTTGGCAATTAGCACAAAGCAGGCCTCAGTGAGTTCAACTTGAGAATCCAGGCTGGCTTTGGAACTAAGACTAAAGAGCAGGCTTGGCCTGGCGTCCTTTACTGTGTTCAGTGGGCAGGGTGGTTTTGGGGGCCGGCTCTGCCACTGCCCTCCCCGCCCCCGCAACGTGTGTGCCTGGATCTGTGCTCAGGGACAAGCAGTGCCTGCCTGCCCCACTGCTGCCCCTTTTTCATGGTCCTCCTCCCGGGCAGTGGGGCCACTGGCACTCTCTAGGGCTGCCAGGTGGTGGGTCGGTGTGGAAGCCCATCATGGTGCCTCCTTCCAGGATGGACCCGCCACCTGTGGAACAAGCTCATTTTTAGCATTACATAAAGTAAACATTCACTCCTTCTCCCACACGGGCCACGTTTTCAGAGCTCCGAGTCACCTGCGCGGGACAGAGCACGTGAGAGCATTCCAACACAGCCGGAGGGTCTCTGGAGCGGTCCAGGCTGGGTCTTTGTTTCCGTCAATTTTTGTTTTTTTACAAAAGAAAGAAGCTGCACACTTTGGCATAATGGGTGCCAGCAGGGCCAGGGTCTTTAGGCGTCCAGGGGACAGGTGGGCTTTGCAAAGCGGACATCTAAAGACTAAAATGTCA